TCCTACTTCTGCCTCTGAATGCTTCTTTAGCAAGGCATTCAGTGGAAGCGCTATGTGAGCGTAATTTTTCACATACTTCCTGTAGAAGTTTGTGAGACCTAAGAAGGAGCGAATCTGCTTTTGTGACTTGGGCACTGGAAAGGTTCTAATTGCTTCAATCTTTTTGTCATCAACTTGAACACCTCCACATGATAAAACATGACCCAGAAAAGATACTTTGTCCGTTGCAAAATTGCATTTGGATGGCTTTAGTGTTAATTTTGCCTGTTTCAGATAGTAAAATACTTGCTCCAAATGTTGGAGATGCTCTTCAAAGTTTTTGCTGTAGATTATCAAATCATCAATGTAGATCAGCGCAACCTTAAAAAGCAATTTTCGTAGCACTTTGCTCATGAGCTGTTGAAAACAAAGTGGGGAATTTGTCAAACCTTGGGGCAATCGTTTGAATTGATAAAGGCCTTGATGGGTGACGAAAGCAGTTTTATGCTTTGAATCTTCATGTAATGGCACTTGGAAGAAGCCATTAGCAAGGTCTAAAGTTGAGAAGATCTTAGCATGTGCATTGGCGATGTTATCAACAACATCATCAAAAACAGGAAGAGGCCAAGACATTGGTAAAGTGACAGAATTCAACTTTCTGTAGTCACAAACAAATCTATATGAGCCATCGCGTTTCTTGACTAGGATAATTGGAGCTGAATACATAGAAGTAGATTCCTCGATCAAATCATACTTCAGAAAATCATCTATAAGTTCTTCAGTGACTTTTTGGAGATGAGGAGATTGACGATATGGTCTACTCTTAACGGGTTGGTGGTTGCCAGTGTCAATGATATGTTGGTGCATGTCAGTCTTACCTAAATCTGCAAGACTCGTTGAAAACATGTTTCTATTTTGTCCCAAAAATCTAAGTAGTCTGTGTTGTTGGTCTGGAGTCAGTTGTGTATTGGTCAAATCAAATCCTAACTCCTGTGTAATTTTGACATAATCCCTGGTGTCATTGTCTCTCTTCTCATTGTCAGTGTTAACGGTACTGATGAATGGTTGGTCAGAGCCGATTTCAAAAACAGAGTCTTTGTCAATGTAACTAAATTTGCCTACAACTGTACCCTTGTCAAGAACCTTTTCTTCTTGGGAGGGATTCATAAGCCTAAATGTAGCAGTCTTGCTTTTTGATTTAGAAAGAGTTCTACCGCCTGCTACTTCAGAATGAGCAGTGAGGGAAGCAATGGGTTCAATGAGGATGAGGGAATCCTCTTTGGTCTCTGATAGTCTGACCTTGAAATGAATTTCACTCTGAGGGGGGATGTAAATCTGATCTATTGTTTTTGCTAATCCACTAATCTCATGCACTGAATTGGCTATGAAATTGATATATTGCCTATCTGAGGTGCTGTTATTGAGTATCAAGGAATGACAGCTATAATCTAAGACTGCATCATTGTCATCAAGGAAGTTCTCACCTAGTATCACTGCTTCTGGTAGTGTAGGCAGAACATAGAATCTTTGAGAAAATTCCTGATCCTCAATGACAAAATCTAACACAACTGAACCTAACACTTTATGCAATTCGCCGCCAACACCTTTAACCTGTGGAAAGGGTGAGTTTCCAAGAGTAAGGTTTTCAAAAGCTGTGCTCAGGAAAGCAGACGAAATACAAGAAATGGATGCCCCTGTATCTTCTAAACAATTTGTTGTTTTTGTGCCAAATTTTGCCTGAATTACACTTTTGGCAAGGGGCGTAACTAAAGACACTGTTGGAATTTCACTTTCAAAGTTACTTTCCTTACCAGACTCCATATTTGCCATGACACCTATTAGTATGTACCGTACTTAATTAAAGGAAGACAAGTAATCAACAATGTTTTACTTACAATATTTGAAGACTTTTTCTTCCTTTGTTGGTGTCTTTGGAGGAGTTGGTTGTCTTTAATCCAGTGTTGAGGTCAGAGGTGGATGCAGCTTGCTTGTTATTCCATCAGATGATCACGGTTGGGCATGTCCTCCAATGGGTTCTTGTAGCTGGTCGTAGTTAGTTCCTGGACTCCGTGGTTCCGGAAACGATGATTCTCCGCCAAATTATCATGGAACTGTTCTGGGTGAACAATACCTTCCAAATGACGTGCTGGTTTTCTTGGGGAATTAGTCAGCAAAGAGCCAGAGTCACAGGAGACTAATCACAATTTTATTTACAAGAACAATTAACAATTTACAATATACTTAGATAATAACTGAGGGTGCCACAGAGAGTCGGTACACACTCTGGGCTGTGGGAGAGAGGTCTGCTTGGTAAGAGAGTCAAACCCCTTCTCTCTTTAAAACCTGCCTACAGTATGTATTTAACAAAAATTTAAACAATAACAAGGAATGTGATTGGTTGATACACGATGGGTTGTGTCCTAAGCTAAATGGATGGCTAGACAGAGGGGAATACTAAATCCTGTTTATCCTGTTGGACTGGCACTAATCTTGTTGACATATTTACTGGATGCTTTGAAAGAGATTAGGGTGTCACTATAGATGAGCTTGTGTGGGGGCTAATCCTTAATGCCCTATAGACGAGCTTGTATGGGGGCTAATCCTTAATGAGTCTTAATTGAAGTAATGTTATTCTAATGTACCCCGGTAGGTTATGACAGATATACTTAAATAAATATCCTTTGTCTGGGAGATGGGATCTTGATACCTTAGGCTAGCAAAGCTTCAAATCAATAAAACTATGTAGACGTAACTCTTGTCTTATTGAATAGTATGTCTAGATGCGCTCCCATTACCTTAGGCTAGCAACCATCTAAAAAGCTTTAACTGAAACTACTGATATTTTATATATGCATTTTACCTAATGATTATTATTACTTGCTTAACTATAATTTTATGAAATGATGTATAAATATTACGCCATGATAACTCATAAAAGCACTTGATGTAGATCTAATTATTATAAGATAACTTAGTATAAATGTTATCCCATGATAATGCTCCCATGCGCATCTGTATGTTGAATAACTATGGGTGTACCATTCTGAGTATTTAATACTCAATGTAAGGTGAAAGGATACTAGTATATAAATTGATGTTTGTTACATAGTGTCCAGGGACCCAGGGGGGCACCTGTATGAAATATGAGGAGGCAGGGACATTCGTTGTGTGTTGACCTCAGGGCGACAGATGGCCAAGTATATGAGAATGCTAATCTGGACTGGATGAGACCTGTGTGAGGCTCATAAACGATGTACAGTGTATATGGCGATGATGTGGAAGGAGGCGTGGAGAAAATGACTTTGTACATTTTGTGTACATAATAATGTGTAATGTGAGATAATTGATTGTTGACATGCATGTATCGATGTATTGATGCACTAAGGTATTGATGTTGTGATATATTAATGTTCTGATGCTGATGCAATGATGTATTGATGTATTAGTAGGGATTTAGGAGATAGAGTATTAGTACAATATTAGTGTATTTGTTCGTGGGGTTGAGTAACCTTGCATATTTGGAAAGTGTATGCTAGCGTGACAGAGTGAGTGTGAAGGGTGTGAAGAGTGAGAGATGGTTAGTGGGAGCTACTTGAATAGATGTGAGTATGTAAGTTGTTAAGACATTATCAGTATCATTCTTAACATTATTTAATAAATATATTCTTAATCCATATTTGGGTTGTGTTATTACTCCGTGTTGTGACAGAATACATCTTTGGTCTTAATCCAACATACTCTGCAACAGGAGTTCAAGCACACTCATCCTTCATCTAACCTTTTGCCTATTTATTTACTGTGCTGTGCAGTGGATTAACTTATGGGTAGTCGCTCGTGTCATATATATCTATTTTTTCTGCTATACCTTTATACACATCCTTGGTTTGTATTTCCATTAACAAAGGATCTGTATCGGTATATAACACCTCGCATCTATCACAACATTGCTTCTTAAGTTGATTGTAATAAAAGTCATACATTAAGTGTTTTGACAATTCAAGAATACTCATACTGGTCTGTTGAATTTTATATTACTCTTCCTCATATGTAATGTTTCTAAGTCATTATCAAATACAGTCAAGTCTCGTTAATCAGACATCGTTGGTTGCACATGATTGTGTCGGATTAACGAGTATGTCGGATTAACGAAATTAAGTGATTTGTGTTCGAAAATCGGACATCTTCACGATAGATAATAACCGTGTGTTTCCTCGTGTAAATGCAAGTGCTAGTGTCTTAACAACTTGCTTCATCTACTTAAAATAGTCTGTCAGTGTTTTCTGTTTCTCACATTTTGAAGGCACATTTCTCAAAGTCCCCTGTTCGCTTGACGTCTAGGGCTGGTGGTTCTTCAGCATCAACATTGTTGAGGTGTAATTTCATTTGTTTCTTATAATAAAGCTTGAAATTCTTTATGATCCCGGCATCTAGTGTTAATTGTTAAAGTTAATCTCTGCAGCCAGTGCGTGTCAAAACACGGGGTTGTGTACTCGCGGGCAGATGACCACGGAGTACGCTGACCACTGTGTCGGATTAACGAGACTGATTAATGAGTGATTTCGGTAATTCGTTGCAAATTAGGTGTGTCGGAGTCGGAGTGCGAGAATGTCGGATTAACGGGACTAAATAGCGCTGAATCAATCGGTTCCCATCATTTGTGTCGGATAAAGCCGAGTGTCGAATTAACGAGACTTGACTGTATCTTACTTCTGTTAAAAGCTGGACTAACTATGTATGCAGTGGACATACCTTGTTGGCAATGAGCAGGCAGGGTACAGGGTAGCCATCAAGTAAAGCTATGTATGCAGTGGACATACCTTGTTGGCAATGAGCAGGCAGGGTACAGGGTAGCCATCAAGTAAAGCTAAGTATGCAGTGGACATACCTTGTTGGCAATGAGCAGGCAGGGTACAGGGTAGCCATCAAGTAAAGCTATGTATGCAGTGGACATACCTTGTTGGCAATGAGCAGGCAGGGTACAGGGTAGCCATCAAGTAAAGCTATGTATGCAGTGGACATACCTTGTTGGCAATGAGCAGGCAGGGTACAGGGGAGCCATCTAGGAGAGAACATTTAGTGTCTAGATCTTTCTTCCACTTGACTGCACTCTGGAAGGTTGCCCGCTGAGATAAGTCGAACATCACGATACACGCATGAGCATCTTTGTAGTAAACCCGGGTCATTGATGTAAACCGTTCTTGACCTACAATATTATTTTCAGACTATTATTCAATATACAATACCAGCCTCATGGCAAACATATTACTAAAATCGAAAAAAATTATTCTTGTAATTCTTTTGGTATTGATATAGTTAGGCACTACAAATGAGTTCATTTTGAGATTCCATTTTAGATTCCTGTTGTCTTGCAAAAGGTTGAAACATTTATTCAATTTGGAAAATGAATTTTGGCAAATGATTGTGAATGTTACAACCATTGGACTAACCCTGCACCCCAAGATTTAGAACACACCTGTCTTCAGCAGGAGTTTTACAGATTTTTTAGTGAAATTCCTGGTCAGTAGGTCAGTAGGTCATAATGAGGCACGTGTAAAGTGACTGGCTGTGAGAGGACAGAATGATCTTAATGTTATAGTCGAAGGAATATGGTTATGGTAATAAACATTCATAAAAGTATAATTGTTTTGAAACTGTTTTCATAACATCATCAACAATGGCCAAATCTGCAGATTTTGTTGTTCAAAAGAAAATTCCTTATCATCTATACAATTATTGAAATAGATATCCTACAAAATCAGGCCTCTGAGGCTTTTTTGTGTCTGAAAAGACATTACCTGAACATTTTCAACAATTTCTGTTGGAGAACCACAATAATAATTACAGTTCTCAATTCCAAATCATGAACAATCCTAATCAGTTAGCACACCATATCTCAAAACATTTTGGCTCTCTTCATGTGGTTTCTGAGGAGAAGAATCTAAGTTATTTTTTGTTAAAGTTGTTTTGTGAGGAATCACAGGTCTGAATCCATTTGTATTACTTTATTTCCATCACATCTCACATTTTCAGTCTGAAGAAGAAGCTAAAGGAAAGATGGACGGATGACCTGTCAGACAACTGACAATGAACTCAAATACATTTCTAAAAAAGGAAAGTCCCGTGCCTCAAGCTACCTTCATAAGAAAGCAATATGCACTTTCAGTCTTATAAAACAACTTGTTCAGAAAAAGAACACATGCCTGCATGTCTAAAACTTTGCCTGGACCATACTACTAACAGCCTCTTCTAAAGGGAACTGGTTGTTGCCTTTGTTATTGTTCCCCCCCCCCCCCCCCCCCATGAGTACCCGGATCATATGGCAGAAAGCACATTTATCGCTTTTATTGATAGTATAAGGGCGTATGGTCACATTCATCAACAAATACAACTACAGTCTATTCTTGAAAATAATAAGTAAATATTTCAGACAATTTATTAAACGACTAAATATTCAGTTATTTTACAAAGTCCATATATGTTATTATGATAACAAATTCCTAACATTTTTATGTTTTAATTTCATCATTCAGTGACTGAAAATGATAGGATTAAAAGAAAATGAAATTCAAAGTACATTTCTATAGTTTTGGCTTCTAGTTCTAATCCTAGCATAATTCATCTATTGTGATGTTTTAAACCCTTTTGAACCTCTTAATAATTGTTAGTCAATCTGGACTGATGTTTCAGTCAATTTGTAAATTACTGAAATATTTAGACATTTCCTAAATTGTCTGAGTGAATCACATTTTACACATTGACTGTAACATATACAAGCCTACAAACGAAAAGTCTTGTGAAAATGTCTGCCTCGCATCGAAGAACTTCCCAACGAAAATGTAGAGGAACAAGGATGATTCTGTTCAATGTGAATATCCACATATAGGAACAATATCCCATACGTCTGCAGCTGTACAAATAAACTTATTCTATGTCACGTGGCTCTGTAACAATCAAATATTTTAAAATATATATAGCGTTTCGGGATATTATAATCCGTGTTGTTTCTCAACTGATCACTAAGTTTGTTTCAGATGTTTCACAAAGGTGTCAAGTCTCATTGGTCAGCTGAGAAAGCACATGTGACAATTATGTTCACGATGTCCACAGTTCTTAAAAATATCCATAGAGTTAGATAACAATGGACAGTCAATCAACATATTATCGGCTAATCCTTTGAACAAAGTATGTTGTTTTTACATTGGCACTTCATGCCCAGATATGGGTGTATTCTGTCTGCTTTAGTAAACCTACACATGTAAATGCTTGCTTTTGACAAATCCACTGTTCAAGATAACAGTGATTAATCAATCAACGCATTTTCTGTTGATCCTTGGAAGGAGAGGAATAATCTGTTGACTTACGAAAAAGTAAATCAACTGATCACTCCTCTTGCTGGGCTGCCACGTGCATATTACATAACATACATTTCACCTCACTTCAAACCTGGATTTAGATCAAATAATTACCCCAGACACAAGAAATGCCAAATGGGAACCTTTGGCAGGTAATCTGAGTGGTGCTACCACTATTTATACCTGTAATAAGTTCATTAACTGAGCTTCAAGTGAATGACAATAAATACACAGGTGTAGGGATATATAGAGGTTATCACGCGAGTGTGTTTGGGGATGGTAGTTTATTTAGCTGTCCTTGCAGACGGTAGCCCAGTCTCTTGTCACACTCAGCTGTGTTAGTGAGGAAATTGACACACAGCAGCTAGTGAGCCCTAGCGGGCAGTGTTAGACAGCCGCAAAATAGCCAGAGATTGGTGCCCCTTTAAGTTGCTCCAACAATTTCTGTTCCAGGTTAAGTTGATTTTCATTGTAACCATATGTGAAACCTACTTTTGTTATCCATTAAAAGTGTCATGTATTCATGTTCTACCAACTTCTAAATGCCAATCAAAGACTTTAAGATTTTGTATGTGAAAATTAATCCAATTTTCATTCACGTGCTGAAGTATGGGGATGAAAACAATTCATTATTATCGAAAAGGTTCACCTGTGTGCACGTAAAAGAATTCTTGTAAAAGTCAACACCACTAATGAAATGGTTTATGGCAAATGTGGTAGATTTCCTCTATTTATATATTCACAGATAAAACTTAAAGTACTGGCGGAAATTCGTTAAAATGACTTCGTTGAGATACTCTAGGAAATGTTACAATATGATCATGATAAATGGCATGAACAGAAGGAATAACTGGGAAGCCGATGTGAAACAATTGTGCAATAGTGGGATCTACAAAAACTCCAAGGTCAGAATGGTTATGGAAAATGTGTAAGATCCAAGCTGTTGAGGATGAATATCACTTTTCACCTTTACGTCCACTTTACTCCAAAGTGTGGAAAAAAATATATTCCTGTATATTACTTTAATGATCAAAATATTGTTAAATTCTCCCATCTATTGAACAGTCTAGATAAAGTAACAACACAAAACATGTCCATGTATATATACCAAACTGAAGTCTTTGATAGGCATGTAAAAGTTAAAGACCACGAATACTTGACACTTTTCATAGATAGCAACTTCTTTTATTCTTTGTCAAGATGGATGAATGTACAAAGATGACAATATAATGACAAAGCCAATGAGATAAGATTAATGTACAAAGATAACAAAATAGTTGTGTGCTATTTCAGCTGACCAATGACACTTGACACCTATGAAACAAACTTAAGAAACAAACACAAGTTATAATATCCTGAAACGCCATATATTTTTAAATATAAGACAGCTACAAAGACACGTGGCATAGAACAAGTTTCCTTGTACATCTGGTTAAGGGAAGATACCTGCGAATGCACTGGTTATGTAAACAGAAGGATGCTGGGAAATGATATTTATAATAATAGAAATCATTGCTAATAAAACAATGGAACAGCCTTATTTAGATGTACAAGAAAAAGTGGTAATATGTTAAAACTAAAAGACATAAGTTACGAGTAGGAATGTCTCAGTAGGAGAATACGAAACTGACTGGTTAAAAACCGGAAGTTGGATACGATACGAATGACGAGCAATGAGGTTGATGGAGGGAATTAAGATGAATGAATATTAAAAGTCTTTTGGAAGAGATACATAATGAGAAGATGAATAAATATTATGAGGAAAGGTGAGGTAAAATTGATGAAGTAGATATGGAGTAGAAATTTAAAATGATGATTTAATTGAAACATGTGAGGTATATGTGACAAGGAATAAAATTTAAAATATACATGGATGCTAAACATGAAAATTGGGTATGATAATGTAATGATGGAGGGACATAATATCGCTGCACAAACAATAATATTAAATTAACATTTTATGCAACGATAACAAAACAAGTAGTATCATAAAAATACTAATTTAATAATTTGGAAAAATGGGGGCTGACTCGGTTGCTGCTAATGAGAATGATAATTAGGAAGAGAGAGCCACAGAGAGGTGTTGATGTCCTGGGGTCGAAGACCCGGACGACCTCTGCATTGTCCTGGGGTGCTCCTGACCCGGACTAGAGATATCCAGACCTGGCGTCACCGCAACCCGGTCATCCCTGGGGGTACTCCTGACCCAGCCTAGGGATATCTGGACCTGGGGTCATAGCGAAACGGTCATCCTTTGGATCTACTGGGCCTTGGGTCTCACAGCGACCCGGACTATCCCATAGTGTGAATGTGGCTGCTCCCTATGAGGGGGGGGAACCCAAAATGAGGTTGGGAGTTTTGTAAGAACGAGCAACCGAGAGCCCCCAAGGAATAACATATAACTTTGGTCCATTGTAATAACCATATTTGCATTTTGTTTTCATTCATTCTGCTGTGGAATTGAACAGAATCACACTTTTTCATTACGTTATTGCTGATAAGTTCTTCGATGCAAGATAGACAACACTGAGTCGTTGTTTTGTGAAACCTTTTCGTTTGTAGGCGTGTATATGTTACAGTCAATGTGTAAAATGTGATTTTACAAATTGACAGAAAAAATCTGTCCATTTATTTAACAGATTGACTAAAAATATTTAAGAAGTTCAAAAGAGCTTAAAAACATCACAATAGACCAATTATGCAAGGATTAAGAGCCCCAAAATATACAAATGAACTTTGACTTTTGTTTTCATCACTGGGTGTTTGGAATCAGTTTGTAAAATAACTGAATATTTAGGTGTTAAATCAATTGTCTAAATGAAAATTTCAATGTGTCATTTTTCACATTGACTGTAACATATACACACGATAAAATTAGCAATGCTCAGGCGAAATATTCAGTTTGTGTTAAAAGTCAAAATACACAATCGCACAAACCCAAGCTTGTGACCTATCAAAACTTTGTTGCCCAACGATACCTACATTTCCTTATTATTTCGAAAACAAAATTGTATTTCATTTTGTTGATCCATGTGACAATATGCTCTTGTACAATCAATAAGAGCGACAAATGCGCTTACTGTTCAGTTGATTACTGTCGTGAACGCTAGTCAAGATAAGATTTGGGATAAGATCCAGATATCCACAGGGGGGGGGGGGGGGGGGGGGTTAGGGGGAAACAATAACAAAGGCAACAACCCATCCTGGTGAATTGTCAGAAACCAGGGCTCCTTTTGAAAACTATGAGTCGGCTGCTTTGCCAGTTAAACAAAACATGTGCAACACATAGTTCATGTGTTTATGCTATGGAATTGGACCTTCACTTACCGTATTTCAATTGTCTAATTTGTTTTCATGGAAAATTTCAAACACCACAAATTCAAAATTAGCAAAAGACACCAGTTCACATGTAGATTGATATCAATCCAAAGTTTGATCAAGAAATATTGAATGGTCTTTGAATTATGGTCCAGAAACAAAACCTACCCAAATGTTGATTTGTTGTCTTGTCATTGGAATGGGAAAACTATTTGTTTTTTAGAATTCCATAATTGCCAAAAGACACAAATTTAGCATGTGAGGTATGTAAGTTCGGTTATAATGTAATAAACAATTTGAAAGTTATGCTTCAGAAACAAAATGGGACGGGCAAAAGAATGAATGGGCAGTACCCATTCCATAATCCAATTTTTTAAAAACTTTGTGGAGGACAATGTATATCCCAAGTAACATGTTTTCGAGCCCCTAAACAATATGTGTCCACATGCTTAATGACATAATCAACTGAACACATCAAAGTATTCACCTCTTGCCATTGATGTTATTTTGAAAACTAAGATATTCAATACCGGTAAGTAGTACGAAATATTTAGTTTGTAAAAACATACCTCAAAACTTACTTTTTCACCAATGCAGCTTTTAATCTAACTTGATCTGATGATAATTTTGCATCAGAACAATTATTTGTGCCGATGATGTACCAGCTGCCGTTTGTAAAACTTCCTGTGTGTGATGTCATGTGACTGATCATGTTGTGCATCTATTTTTAACTTGTCTGTAATGGAGGGGCTCAAAATCATATGATGGTAACAAGATGGCGCCCGAATGACTCGTCCTTGACATGGTCATTTGACCATCCAGGTGTTGACAGAAATAAATGCTCTCAAAGGTACTACTTAATTTTAATTTATTGTGATTGTTATTAAACATGCAATTAGAAATACTTCTTTGGGGCTAAAAAACATAGTACGCAAGGATATATGTGATTGTTAATAACATTAAATATCTCAGTTTCCATTTAGTATATCATTCCGTGTGCCTCTGTTGTACATCACATTTCATGGACACGAGAGAATATAGGTTGTTTTATCAAACCGTTAATACAGTACCTGCTATATCCCAAAGTTGTAGTTTGATTGTCCTATTATCTGACCACTTTATTACCTTCAAGGCAAAGTCAACTGTAATAGAAAAAATATGGAGATCAGTATGATGAAGCAGTTATTGTGTATGTGTGTTACTTTTGACCATCTTCACACTGACCAAATAATTATGTGACTACACAGTGATTTTGCAACAGTCACTACTTGTTGAAGATCTTAATGAGAAGTCCCAGGCCATATGAGTTATCAAAAATGGAAATCTATGACTTAGTCCTGTTTACCGGGACTTGTTACAAGTGACTGACTCCTAGCAGGACAAGTTTGTGGTTATTGTTCTTCTCTAAGACGTCACATGTATTTAATATATCACAACAGAAACTGCCAACAAAAAGAACTATCATGGGCTCAAATAGTAGTCTGCCAGACTACAAGCATGCCCTCTTGCACAGGCAAGGCCAAATGCTGCCAAACAATTTCACCCGAAGTTGACATCCAAAGTTAAGTTAATAATTTTCGTGCTAATGAACATGATGATGACGTATATACACTAAAGCACATCAAACAAACAGACCGCCTCCATGGACTAGTGGTAGAGCATCTGCCCGGAGAGCTGAAGGTTTGATCCTCGGATGCATCATACCAAAAGACGTTAAAAGATGGTACTTGTTGTTACCCTGCTTGGACTGGTCAGCTTAGAGTGGGGTATTTATGTTTAACTCTGGCATGGTTTCTCAGTGGGCCAGCACTATAAAATCAGCTTTAGTCATGACAAGTACAAACTGACGCACTCACGCATGCACACACACACACACAAATAATCAATAATCTTGGACACAACATTAAACCCCATTTCACCTCACCTGCCCACCTCACCAGATGGAACTACAATGAAAGTTAGAATAGTCTTTGACGCATCAGAAAAATGTAATGGTCTGTCCTTGCATGAAACAGTTCATCATGATCCTAAGTGACAAATTATTTCTCTGAGATTTTACTTCACTGCAGGAAGAACCCAGTTGTGATCATTTGTGATATCGCTGAGATGTGTCTCCAGATTGAAACCTCTAAAGGAGATCATTCTCATTTTTAGATTCCTTTGGAGATCTACACACCAGAACCAAATACCTGAAGTTTATGAATTTTTTAGTTGTGTTTGGAATGAATTAGATGTGATGTTAAACCCCATTTCATTTCACCTCACCTCACCTCACCTCACCTCACCTCACTTCAAACAAACATGATGATGATGATGATGATGATGTATATACAGTATAGCGCATCAAACAAACACCATTTCCAGGCGTTACATTTTGAAATTAAGATAGTTGTGAATCCTTAAATCAAACATGTTCTCAGGAATAAGCTCACATTAGGAAGTAGGCAATGTTTAGAGGCTGTATTATTGGGCTACATTAAACAATTATCTAAATGTTACAAGGAGCTCACATTAATGCATAGAAAAGACAGAGGCAGATAAATTTGAATAAATTGTAGGGGGTAAAAAAATAAAAGAATTGCTCCTCAGGCCATGGCTTTTGAAAATATAGCGTGGAAGGGTGGCCTTTTCTTTTCTTTTTTTGTTGTTCAAACTAGCATGTAACCAAATGAACAATCAACCTGGGGAAAGGGTCTCCCTACATGCCTACACAAATGTATTCCTTGATGAGCAAAATACTGGAATACAGTATTTGACTACCGTTGGACTACAAGTGTGTGCATAATACATAAAACAATGAGCTTTGATTATATTTCAGAATGCAAAATTGTTATCGTGATCACACAATACAGAAAGAGGCATGTCAACAAATCCGTACTGAAGTATGCATGTTCTGTTACACCGTAACAAGTTTATTTTTAGTGGTATTCACTCTTCCTTTTTAGTGTTAGCAAGGGCAGAGTTAGGTTTTTGGTGTTCACATGCAACATGGTCTACAAGCAGACCACATGTTTGGGTTCTCACCCTGCTTCGATAAGCGATAAACCTCACAAACCACAGGCAATCATAGTGTCTGTAATCCAGTGATGTTTTATTTTTAAAATTCATGTTTTCATTGATCAAATTTGCAAATGACAAAAACAAGCACACAAACTCTATTGCATCCATGACCATAACACGTAACATGAGCTGAGCAGTAAAGCAGTGCACATGTAAGGGGAAGTAACTGCACACTATATTGGAAACTGATTGATTTTAAGTATTGTAGTATTTCACTGCCGAGGTTGTGTGAATATAAAGGATTATCGCTCACCTGGATATTTAGCAATCATGACAAAATATACATTTGCATTGTACATGTATATAATACTGCAAATATTTCATAATTTTGACTCTGTCAGCATTTAAAATAGGTGGATGGCAAATCTGACAGCATGAACGTGTATGTCCCTAGATACAAATATAGCATAAAGACTTGAACCGTTTCCGTATGATCCAGGATCTAAGTTTCCAGAGGCAAGGCTGGACCCAAGGGTGAATCCTATTGGCATAAATGTATTATTCTCTTCATAACAAATAAATGTATACAATGTATCTGTTTATTATAGGGTGGGGATAATATCGGTTTGCAAGTTATGGTCAAGGTTCTTACTCCTTTAGGAGTGCTGACAGATGAACAGAAGGGCCAGTCCTCGTAGCATATGTGCATTCCTCTCATTATACTTGAATTGTACATATGGTTATACGGTGGGAATCTTAACTGTGTCCAAATTATAAACTCTTTTTGGCCCCGCCCCTCAGCCCCTTGGGTTGGGGGTTGGGGGTGGGGTGGTGGTGAGCCCCTCCATTTGTACAATTGTGAATTCCCACAACTTGAAAATACTTCCAACCAAACATGGTTGATGTGCATCTCCTAGTTCCAGAGAAGAAGTCGTTTAAAGCAATATTACGAAATTACCTTCTTAGCCCAGCCCCTCAGCCCTTTTGGTTGGGGGTGGGTTTCAGCCCCTCCATTTCTCCAGTTTGAATCCTCACCCTCTGAGAATGCTTCCAACCAAATATGGTTGATATCTATCTCTTAGTTTCAGAGAAGAGGTCGCTTAAAGCAATACAGCCAAATTACCCCTATTTGGCTCGCCCCTCAGCCCCTTGAGGGGTCAGCCCCATCATATGTATAATTTTGAATCCCCAACACCTAGGGATGCTTCCATTCAAATTTCGTTAATTTCCAATTAGTGGTTCAGAAGAAGAAGTCGTTTGAATAAATTGACGACGTATGGTCGACGGACGACAGACCTTTCGGACCCGGTGAGCTAAAAACGACGGACTTTGTGATGATGCCACGGTGCCTGAGAACCAAAACTATCTATTTTTAGATTTAGGCTAAAAATCTTCAGGCCTGTTTTCATATGCACTACCATTGTCTGACCATTGCATGATAAGGGGAATACAAAATTGAGCTCAAATGGATTGTATAGAAATAATGGCTGACATGTTTCAAAATCAGATCAGAATTCTGTGAGAATGTTTTCGAGATGATATAGCTGACATCATTCATGCAAAGTTTCAGCTCCATCGGCATTGTACTTTCGGTGATGCATACATGTGATAAAATAGTCAGAGGCATTAAGCCTTTGGTATCAAGGAGATTTGCATCCATCAGGGAGAATTTAGGATAAAGGAAGATATCACATACATCTGCAGCTAAACAAAGAAACTTGTTCGATGTCACATGTCTTTTTAACAACCTTATATTTCTAAAAATATATAGCATTTCTGGATATTATAATTCGTGTACGTTTCTCAACTGATCACATGAGTTTGTTGCAGATGTTTCACACAGATGTCAAGTCTCATAGGTGGTGAGCTGAGATAGTACAGGTGACAACTCTTTTCATGATGTCCATGGTTCTTTAAAAAATCCATTTAGTTAGAAAACAATGAGCAAGAAATCAACAAATTTTTGGTTAATCCTTTCAACAAAGTATGTTGTTTTTACATAGGCACTTCACGCCCAGATATTGGTGTGTTCCATCTGCATTAGTAAACCTACACATGTAAATATAAGCAAGGATTATATCCTACCTAAATATTATCCCAAGGAAAGTTTTACTCTGGGGTATAGTATCCTACCTTAGTGCCACACTGGTATGGGTTCAAATTCAATAGGGAGAATCATCCTGACACTAGAGAATTTCATCCCTAGGATAAAAATAGGGTAGGATAATATTCACACTTACTTTTGACAAATTCACTGTACTGTATTGAACAACAAAAGTTCCTGTGACATTGAATAAGATTTAATGCAAAGTTATGTTTTTTACCAAATCTGAAACAATTTCGGTTTGCAACAGATAAAAGACTCCTGTAAGTGTTCAAATGGTTTAATTTGCCATACTGACTTTTAGAAAATGCGTGATTTCATAAAAAACATGAACATGCCAAAATGTCAATTTACAAATCAATAGCGTGTGTGTCAACCTCTGGTTGCGATGCAAGCAACAGATCTTCGTCTCATGGAATGGACCAGGCGTCGCACAAAGTCCTGTGGGATATCTGTCCATATCTGCTGGAGCATGTTTCGAAGTTCCTGGAGTGTCTGTGGAACACGTGGTTGACGTCGAAGGCGCCGATCCATCTCATCCATGTGTTCGATTGGTGAGAGATCAGGGGAGTGAGCCGGCCAGGGGATGACATTCATGTTGTTTTGTTGAAGAGAATACTTAACAAGTCGAGCAATATGAGGCCAGGCGTTGTCATGTTGAAAGGTAATGCCTGGGCCATGACGATGCAAAAACAGTAGAACAACAGGGCCGATGATCTCATCGCGGTAGCACTGTCCATTGAGATTTCCCTCTAACACTATCAAACGGGTCCTCTGTCTTGCTGTAATTCCACCCCATACCATAACGCTGCCGCCCCCGAACCGATCTACTTCCATGACACAATGATTGATGTAAGGCTCACCTCGATGTCGGTACACACGAATCCGTCCATCGCTGTAGCTGAGGTGAAAACGACTTTTAGTGAATAGAACTTGTCCCCACTGCATGGCCGTCCAGCATAGACGCTGTCTGCACCACTGTAGATGTGCTTGACAGTGATTTCCTGTCAAAATGGGATGTCTGGCGGGTCTTCTGGC